GTCTATGAACGTAATATTCCAAGAAGCCGAAGGGAATGATCCACAGATATCCATATAAATTAGTTCTTAGACGTCCGAAATCCTATTGGCACCTAATCTCCTTATGTTTGTTTGTTTTCCCTTAATATAATTAACATAAACATTTTAGTCTAAAAAATTAAAGGAATTAAGAATTTCTTTTTACGCAAGATTTTTCATTCTCTTTTGAGAGATATTACATATTCGCTTGTACCATAACGAAGTAAAATTCTAATTAGTTAATTTATGTTTAATACTATGTGAATTCACATACAATGTTTTTTTATAAAAGGCAACCGTATTAAGCAGATATATGTTATCGTAACTGGATAAAGAACTAGTACCCACAATATTTGAATTTAAAAAAAAATCAAATTGACTATTTTCAATTGAACAAGAGTAATTAAATTTGTCCAATGTAGATATAGAAATCAAATTTTGTCTTAAAGATGATACTGCAAATGTCCATTTTTAAAATTCAAATAATAATCAGTCTTTAATGATAACATAAGGTCCCTATAGTCTCAACTTTGACTGATTTGCCATCACCCCACATAGATGAATCTTTCAGCATCAATTGACTTTTGGATGTTCATACAACCCCGCGTAGACAGACTTATGTGAGTAGTAACGCTAGAATTTATCCACCAAATGTGTCTTATTATTGAAACTAAATTAACCTTAAAATAAACCAAAGTGAGAAGTGAACTTTATTTACACGCAAAGCATAATATCTCTTTATGTATTCCAAAATTTCACAAAATTAACAGCCAGATTTATCATTTTTGGGCTTTCGCTGTTTATATTGAATCGAACCGAATGCAGTTTTCTTATTATTTATAACTTGTCCTTAGAGGTACGTGTCAAGTGAGTAACATCGGTTTTATTTTACTTTAGCCTTTTTTTCTTCTTACAAACAACATGAAATGAGCTCATTAAAAATCTGCTTTCCCTTTTAACAATTGTAACTGACCTTATATTAGTCGAATTGTGCAAAAATAGAAATCAAAACTAAATGCACGAGCAGTCAACATATAGCTCAATCTTTAATGATTTTAATTTCGAAGCAAGATAAGACATCTCAATGATGTACTCCCTTATATTTTCTTTATCCTTATACTTTAGTGAAACTAATTTCGACTTTATTGCCTTCTGCAAAGCGTTTTCCAATTTCATCAAGAAATTCCTTGGCAATAGTTACCTTAGTGTCCCTAAATGTTACTAGAATATAATTGATTAGTTGGTAGATATTACAAAAGTAGATGGATTAACCGAATACGATTTGACTATTTGAATTGTTTGTATGGATTTATTTTCTCCACGATTATTGTGCACGTTAATTGTATGAGTGTGATGACCTATTTTATTCATTCGAAAGAAAGAAAAAAGGTTCGACATGGTATGAGTCATCATAGGGTCAGAAAGAGAATATAAATATATACCACTATACCTTGTGTGAATCTTTAAGTGTTCATAAAAACTCATGCATTCTTGTATGTTTGTATCAGTCGAACGTCATAGAGATATAATTGGGTTATATATGAGAATAAGTTTGACTTTACTCGAGAGACACTGTTAAATAATTTAGGAGCATTGATTCGTCAATATTTCAATCTGTGTCAAAGTGTAAAACTAGGTTTAAAAAGATTATTACTTAGGGATTCGTGATCCTGGTATATTCATAATGAAAAATGATATTCATCCGCAGTGGGGATGCATCCCTAGTCTATGTGGATGTAAATGATTGTTTAAATAATAGGTGAAATTAAATAACTTATGTAATTTCGCCTATCATTTAATGTCACATTAACGTCACATAAATTGGGGATGCATCCCCACTGGGGATGAAATTTCAAATTACATTCAACGATATTTGCATTTAATTTAGTTAAATCATTTATACTTGCATAATTAGATTAATTTAGTTATAATTTCATCACAACAAACACGTCAATCTATTATAGTTTCGATTAAGGTCAAGGTAATACGAATTGAACTAATCAATTTTCGTGGGACGATATTCGAACTCAAACAGTCCACTTTATTACTTGTTAAAGAAACGTACACTTACGATGATTTTAATCCGAAATATATTTTCGCGAACACTTAACAAGAAAAGTGCACGAATTAATCGGGGTTATCCAGTTAGTTTTATGGCTACTTTTGCATGTGTACTTCGTTACCATTGGCTACTTTTGCATGTGTACTTCGTTACCATTCAATCTATTTTCAGGGTTTGTAGCCATTGCTTCCGACGTGGTTTTGAGGGGAGGTGCATATCGTGTAGTTCGGATGTAAAAATCATATTTTTCTTTCACTATTATAATGTAGTGTAATTGATTTGTTATCCTCATTGTTACTCTACGTAACCGTGCATGAGATTTTTTTCACGTTATACGGCTCTTCTTGTCCGGTACTTTTTTTTCCGCATTCAAGAATTGAAAATCGTGTATTGAATTTCTGGAACAATGTAAAAAGAAGTGCTTCAAAAGCATTGTTATTTGACTCAACGTGTTATAGAGAAGAGTCGAGGTATTTCAATTTTATTTTTTTTTTAACACAAGACTGCTTGTTTGGAAGAAATTATAATGAATAGGAGTAATGGATCCCACAAAAGATGTGGATATACTACCATTCGCAATCTTGATTCTCAGTGCAATTATGCTAAACGTATATCTAATCAATACAACCTTTTAGTAGACAAATCTCTCTTTAATTGATCGACTTCGTTACTTTAAACATCGTTGTGGTCTAGGAACCAGTCGTGCTTCGTTTTTCAAGTGAGTATTTTGTTGGCATCAAAAATTGGTTGGAGTCAAAATATAGGACTACATCAAAAGAACAAGAAGATGAGCAATCATGGAGATTGGCCAAGAAAGATTTAATAAGTGGCCTATTATGGTCGGTACTTAATCAACTTTTGACACTGAAAGTGAAACTCGCGTAGTTTTCTTTCGTCATGTTACCTATAAAAGGGGTAATTGGCATCACTAATGTTTATTTGCTCTCTGCAATACTCCCTAACCTTTCATTTTGATACAATTCCTCTTAAATCTAGGGAAGTTTGATGTCGAAATCAAAGGTTAGAGAATATTCCACAAAACATGTAAACGTTAAAAAAGTATTAATTTTGCTACATGTCATATAATGAGTTACATAATGCTACCCAACGCTCCACCATTTGCCAACAATTAACTTGTACAGATAATTTTGGGATGCATTTTTCTTGCTGTTCTACTCAAATAATGGCCCAACAAGTTTTGAATTCATTTTTCTTGGTGGATTTTCCTTTCACCTTGCTTTTACTTTACCATACTTCAACATGGAAATCAATAAATTAGGCCTTGTGACGATAAAGTGACCTTTAATGTGAAAATGATTAGCTATTGTCCCAGCTATTACTTGGACCAATATTTAACAAGAAACTCGAAACTTCTTAGTGCTGCTTAATTACATCATTCTATAGTAATTGTAAATAAAGCAGACGATATGCTCCAAATTCTAAACGCCCCTTAATGGAGCTTAGAAATCGACTTTCGGAGAGCAAGCACGTACAAAATGGGAAGCTGTTGTGTTGCATTTGAATCCAAGATGTTAATCAAGAAAACACGAGAAGTGGGACAATAACTAGACGGACAAAATCATTCGCATAAAAACTGTTAAATGTAGAATCTGCAGTCAACCTGGTTGTTACATGCAGAAATAAATTAAACCTTGAAGCCTCTGCTGTTTCTTCTTCCTCTAGCGCGCTCAAATTTCCGTCCCTTGGCCCGCACATAAGGCTTAGTATGGCTGTGTGGAACACCGGGAGCTGGACCAAAGTGCTTCACTGCTTCACGAGACTTTGTAGGACCTCTGAGAAGTATCTGCATTACAAAAGAATGTTTAGCAATTTCAACAAGGTCTGCAAGGCGACTCCTCTCTACTTTACATGAGCAACACACAAGTTGTTAGTACTAACTTCTGACTTGTAAAATTATAAACATTGGAGGAAATTCTAATGTTGTGTGATTTTTCAACATGCAAATTCAGTTTACAAAGGCTGGTAAAAATGGAATTCTAAATCAAATATAAGATTAAGAGAGAAATGATAGCATTGTAAGAACTAAAGATCCGTGAAAGGAAGTCAAAAATTTTACACTATATGAGGGGTAAATCATAAAAGTCAAATCTCTGTGACAATTTTTTATTTACATCAATAAACGTCCCTCGCGTCGCTCAAACATGCCCAAAATTATTATCAGCAAAAACCGAGCTGGTACAGAAGGATTATCTCCTTTTTTCACATTCAATACAAAATCCGAAGGTATTGGCTTCAACAAAAAAAAAATGACTTGGAGATGCTTCATAAATTCAATTTATACATCATGGGCCTGTTTGATGAAGATATTTTGCGAATGGATGTTGTAAAAAAGTGATTTTTTTGGACAACGTAATTAAAAAGTAAGGAAAACTTACAGATCCACATGCAAAATTTTACTTTGAGAATGTGATTGAAAATGAACTCAGAGAAAAATGAGTTTTAAAGAATACGTACCAAACAGGGCTATATATCATTATCAACATCAATATATAACTTTAATAATGAATTCAACAATTGAGAAAAATGACAGCAAAAAGACTTTAAAGACTTTACCGTATTCTGGCCAAGGGGAGCTCTAAGAGCAAGCTGGTCAAAAGTCAAACATTCTCCACCTGCCTTCTCAATTCGAGCTCTTGCCCTCTCGGTGAACCTCAGAGCAGTGACCTTAAGTGGTGGCACTTCATATGCCCGGATGTCATCAGTGACAGTCCCAACAAGCACGGCAGTCTTATCCTCCTAGTGAAACATTAAAGAACATATATTCCCAATGTTTATTAAAAGAGCATAGCCATTTGCAAGACATCCATGTGAAACGCCTATCTGTTTCAATTCTATTAAAACAAGTTTTTATCGAGAATTCTAATTAAACAAATTGGATGAAGAAAGGATTTTGTACATGCTTGTAGAATAAATGACATAAACCAATAAAAATATATATACATGTAAAAGCAATTGTGATCAGATTACGTTTTATGAGCAAAAATCAGTGGAGTTTAAAGAGTTAAGCATCTCAATTACTAGGTTGTGTTTCAACTGCATGTTTCAAATATTTGCAAAAACTTAATATGCTTCACACACATATGCAAAATGTCTGTCTGTCCACATTTTCTTCAGTTCATTACTCAATTTCCAACAACTATGATCATGGAATGGACTAGATTCCAAGTTTTCGATAGCAATGTAACTAAAAATAATCAATTTAATTAATTCTCCTAACAAAGGAATTGCCATAGCATCCACAATTGGAAACGTGGAGATTATCACTTTTTTATCGAAGATTAACAGTAAATTAACAAGGAGAATTAAAAATAAAACAAGAGTATTTCGTTTTTCTGTAACAGAAAACAGGAAAGAATAAATATTACCTTGCCCTTCATGAAAGTTATAAGGCGGGACAGAGAGAGCGGGGCCTTGTTGACCTTGCTCATGAACAGCCTCTT